AGCACACGGCGGTGTGACCAATTGACAGAAGGTTATTACTTCATGACACCTGATTCCACCATTTTGTTAAGAGGTCCGTGTTTGCTCTGCTCTAGATTTTTATTTTTCATTGAACTTTTAGCTTAACAACCTTTATCTTCATACTTGATATGGATAAAAATGACTGCATTCTATAATTTCCTGCAGACAATCTATTACTGAATATGCTATAAAAAATACCGGTATATGGAAATAATGAACAGTGTTTAAACTCAAAAGTCCAGTAGACAACACAAATTTTTTAGCAAAGCAAACACGGACCTTTAAAACATCAGAAGTGAGATCAAGTGTCATTGAGGAATAAGCATCCACAGAAGACACGTCACACCAACCGTGTGTTCCTTGTAATGATTGGGGAAAATTGAACAAAAAAAATGAGTGTGTATTTTATTGTCTAGAAATAATTATAAAAACGTCAATCAGCATTTGACTTACTGATGGGTTGTATGTGCTGACAAGGTCATTGTATTAAACATGGAACTTACGAAATGATGACTTTAAATGAGACTAATAATATTCTTGTTCTGACTACTTGTTTGTCAATAATTTACCTCGTTTTATAGAAACTGATCGTAGGTAGAGCATATTCTAGCTTATCGAATCAATTGAGAAATATTAACCCCTGCATAAGTAGGGGAAATTGACTATCGAAAAGGTAACGGCATCACATTTATCATAAAGCTCGGTTGTTAGATTATCGCTAACATCTTTCCTAGTACAATAGCCTAATAAGAAAAGAGATATGTCAGATTCTGTGGTATCTTTTATTTCAAGCTCACTCAGATATACATTATATTGTATTGACATAAAAAATGAAACATCCATTGTTAATTGACAGGACGAGTTGAGTTTAAGGTCACAACAAGTGTTTTCTTCTTTTCAAGTATAACAATTGCAATAAATCCTACTTTATATGAATACAAAAATTGCGTTCTAATACAATTTAGTAATTGTACCCAAGGGAATTGTATTAGATTGTTGGAAGACCTTGTCTCCAAAACCACATAGATATTGCCAATCGGAAACTCATGCATCTCTTTGATGTCAACTTCAGAGTTCTTGTGTGTATAAAACGTTTTAACAAAATAATGTTGGCAAATGACCAATGACAAGGTAAATAGATTTACAAGTTCTCTTTCTTTAAAAAGCAGCTGTCAACGATATCAAAAGCCTGGACTTTTATTCATCGCAGGGAAATGTTGATTATTCAATCGAAAAGTTTTGATGGTGTTGATTTTATCAAAATTTTCCAATTGTGATTTCAATTTAATCGAAAGTTCCTTAGAATTTTTAGTAATGCATACCCGATTCTCGAAAACAAGTACAGCTGTATAATTTTGCATGGTACTTTTGAAGTTTCTCTTTGACTTCTGGTAGAACATTTACTGGAACCCACAAGTATAAGTTGGGGACAAAACACCGTTCAACACAAAATATCATTAAAGAAATTGTAGAAATTAAACAATGCAGATTACAAAGCCATAATTAATAATATTTATATGTAAGCATCGTCAAGTAGTATAGATTCAATTTTGTTCAAATCATGACCCCCGGAGGTAGGGCGGGGTCACAATAGCCAACCAAAGTTTTACATAGAAATATATATAGGAAAATTCTTTAAAAATCTTCTCAAGAATAACAAAGCCATAATTGATCATATTTATATGAAAGCATCTTCAGGTAGTATAGATTCAAGTTTGTTCAAATCATGATCCCCGGAGGTAGGGCGGGACCACAATAGCCAACCAAAGTTTTACATAGAAATATATAGGAAAATTCTTTAAAAATATTCTTCTCAAGAATATCAAAACCATAATTGATCATATTTATATGAAAGCATCTTCAGGTAGTATAGATTCAAGTTTGTTCAAATCATGACCCCCGGAGGTAGGGCGGGACCACAATAGCCAACCGAAGTTTTACATAGAAATATATAGGAAAATTCTTTAAAAATCTTTTTCTCAAGAATAGCAAAGCCATAATTGATCATATTTATATGGACGCATCCTCATGTAGTGAAGATTCAAGTTGTTTCAAATAATGACCCCCGGGTATAGGGCGGGGCCACAATTGCCAATCAAATTTTTACATAGACATATATAGGAAAATTCTTTAAAAATCATTTTATCAAGAATAGCAAAGCCATGATTGGTCATGGGACTTTATTTTGGATTTAAACTATTCAATAATAAACCAGTTTCTACTTTTTCTAAACCACAGTGCTCAGGTGAGCGATGTGGCCCATTGGCCTTTTGTTATGCCTTGAACACTCTAGTAGAGACGAGCACAGGCCTTTGGATCGCTTAAAAAAAAATTGTGTGTGTAAAAAAAAATAAAGGTACTGAACTCTTACATTGGGTACCTGATTTCGCTAATAAAATATTTTTTATTCTAATGCTCTAAAATTCTACTTTCAATTTAAATCTATTCATAGATAAACATTCTTCAATTCTACCAAAGCTCATTCCGAAATTCCATATATTTCTTGAAATATTCTGAAATCAATTTAAAAAATGACCTACTTTCTTTTATACTCGACATTAGCTTGGGCCCCTGGTCATTCACATGTAAACAGACGGTATTTGAAATGCGGCGAATAGTTGCAGAGTATTTGCAAAATCTTTCACCAATTTAAAGTTGATTTCTTACTCCAGATTGTAACGTTAAGTCCGTAATAATATTCCTTTCGCAAAAAATTAATTTAAAAACGTCTACATCAACAACTACCGCCATGTTGATTATGAAAGTAAATGAAGCCATGGTAGAACGAATTTTTCCCGGAATGCATTATATACCTTTCGATTTTCAAAACAATTAGACCGCTAAAATGTTGTTTATGACTTAGTTACATCATATGATCAAATTAAAGAAAAACCTTGTAAAGCTTGAATGCAAATGAGCAAATATTGATTGAGTTTAAAATAAATTCCGGGGAATATTTGTCCCGTCGTTCCCGCTTTACAATTAGTGAAGGCCCAAGCTGATGTCGAGTAAAAAAATTATTGTCAATTTGGGAATTGATTTCAGAATATCTCGAGAAGTATAAGGAATTACGGAATGAACTTTGGTAGTAATGAAGATTGTTTATATTTGAATAGATATGGATAGAAAGTAAAATTGTAAAGCATTTGATTTAAAAGAATTTTATTGGCGAATGTAGGTACCTTATATAAAGAGTTCCATACCTTTATTTTTTTTCAACACCTCAATTTTTTTTCTAAGCGATCTAAAGGCCTGTGGAGACGAGCATTGCAAAAACTGTGATACTTTGAGGACATCCACATTTATGTATACATATCTGTTATATGACCTAGTGCTTTAAAGTTATCCCGTGGAACACGGGCTTCTGAACAGTTTTGATCATCGAGAAAGTTTTTGTTGGGAATCGTTATTATTTTCCTGTTGAATAAATTTCGATTATTCTAAACTTGCATATTAGAAAATTATAGTTAAAAAGAAACTTACATTAGTTCCGCATAAGTTGACGTATTCTGCTTCATACGCACATAAAGAATCTCGATTATAAGAAAGCAAATAAGAAGTTCAAAATTCTTCAATATATATCCGAATTTTTATCTATCATGAATTGTTATTACTTCGGCCAGAGGGGTAAAGTCAAGTCAACAAAGAGCCATAGCGCATTTGATAGTCACTTTCGCCTACTCTAGTAGTGATTTTTTAAATACTTTCTTTAACCAATATTTTGTCATACAATGTTAGTTTATACATGCCTTAAAGTAACCCACACAAAAATAATACTCAATTATTAAAATTTCCCTCATATGATAGTTATAAAAATCGTTCAGTTTATATGGAGAATATAGTAAATACTGAGGTACCCCCCTAAACAATGACAAACTGTAGGAAAAGACCACCCTTAACCAGAAAAAAAACTTCTGAATAATTTTATTTGGATATGACTGTACATCATTACATTTAGATAATTTTGGTTAAAGGTGGTCTTCATATTGAAAATGTTGAAAATATGTATTTATTTTTTTTTTCTAAAACTGTTTCAAAATTCAACAATATGTCTTAATTTTATCCATTTGATTACCAATACTTCGTGGCGTAGTGGTATGATTGCTGGAGTGAAAATATAATGATCGTGAGTTCGAGTTTCACAGTGCGTGTACTATGATTTAATTTTTTTTCTCGTGTGCATTTTCCTATGTTTTCTTTTATTATTTTATAATACATGTATAAATAATTTTTAAGAGCGATATATAATACAACATTACACACAGAGGCGTAGTCACAAACTTAAAAGTGGGGGGGCTCAAGTCCAGAAATTCTTTGATAAGCAAAAAAAAAAAAAAAAAAAAAAAAAAATTAAAAGTGGGGGGGCTCAAGTCAAGAAAATCTTTGACAAGCAAAAAAAAAAAAGTTCCCCAAACTCGAAAATCCTATTTCGGGGGGGGGGGGGTGGGGGGGGTAGCGGCCAACTTTTTTTTCAAAGGCAAATTATTTTCAATTTCAATTTTTCTACACAATTTTATTATACAACTATGTATTAATTACTATTATTTCATATATTGATTTTGTTCTTCATTAAAAAGTGGGGGGGCACAGACATACTCTTGCCCCCCCAGATCTGAAAGTGGGGGGGCTTGTGCCCCCGCTGCCCCCCTGTGACTACGCCTATGACACATTGTATATGGCAATCACTCTCGCAGTCTTTAACAATTTTAATGACCCAAAGTCATAGCTGCTAGCCTGTTTTATTTTTAAAATTTTCAAACAATCTTGTTAAGAATAAGGGTATTGAACAAGTAAAATTACTGTCATGCAACAAACTTGCAACTATGAAAATATAACACTGGGTCACAAATGATTACATATATGTAGTTTGATTTTGAATTGAAAACATACATGTATCTATAAATAGAAACAGGTGATTTCCTTTTAAATACTTGAGTCGGCCGAGTCGTCGGTAAGGCAGCTATTGCTCTTTAGATAAAGAGAGGTGCAAACTAAATATGTACTTAACATAATGGATGCAATGCCATATTTTTTAAAGAATAAGTGAAATTCCCCCATGAAAACATCTTAAACAGATTGATCACAAGAACACAAGAGTTTCTTGTGCAAAACTGCTCCGGTAAGTGACCATTACAATCACAGTAATAATAATTCTGATAGATTTCTGTTTTTCATAGTTGATAAGGAGAAATTATAAGCCTTAATTGAAGCAAGTTTCCGTCACAATTGAAATACATTTATTTAAAAATTAATACGAAAAAAATATATATTGTACATGTATCATATCATCGTTTAATCAGTCAGATGACAAGAAACTGTACAATTATGCTTTCATTTACATCAAGTGTGACTTTTTTCAATTCATTGAAAATGTTCAAAAGAGTTATGTAAACTATAAACGTCCGAACAAAAGCGCATAAGAAGTTTTGCGTCAGTTTAAAAAATAATCGAATGGTATGATATCCCATTATCCAGAAAATAGACACTACTTTCACAATAAATTCTGCGAAGAGGAAATCTGGATACTTTTATAGATAACCTGTATTAAGTGCTTTATCACATCCTTTTAAGAAACATTGTAATTAAGGTAAGTCTATTGTGCTTTGATTTCAGATATTTTAATTTACATACGAGACATGCGTATTTAATATTTTGCTTCACTAAATTCTATCCTGTTTTAATGAATATGATACAATTAGGCCCCCTTTATGACCTATGACTTATGACTTCGAGGGGAACAATAAAACTACGTATTGGGAAAGATTTGGGAAACTGTCGTCGGTTATAGTAAAATGGTCATGAACATACTGTGCGCATTTTCGCTCTTAATATGTACCCTAGGTGAGAGTATAAAATTTAATCGACCCAGTTCAGCTCTTTTGAATATATTCAACGCTTTGTTTAAGCTTTCGTCAAAGGTCAACATGTCCAAAAAAATATTTTAACAATAACTCCAAAACTATGTGAGGTATTAAGTTAAAAGTATTTATAATTTTTTCATTGATTAACAAATAGTATCACTTGATAAAAAATACTTGGAAAAAATATTAACTCAGAAAAATTCTTTTTAGAAATGCATATATTTTTGAAAATATACACTTAATTCCGTGCTCTTAGTGAAAATCATCAAAGTATATTTATCAATGAAGGGCAAGTTGGACTTGGAAAGCCTCTGAAAAGTTGTTTTCCCTGTTTATTTTGTCCAAATGTTAAGACTTGAAATCGAAAGTAATTGCAAATGGCGCTTGTCTTTCACGTCAAACTTGCCCTTCAATGATAAACATTTATCTCATACATGTTGGAGATACAGCCCATTAGATAAACTTATGCTTTATCAATGGGTAGATGCTTTATCAATAGCACTTCCGGTTTTGACACGATCCCTCGCTTCAAGATTTTATTTTATTGAAACTTTTATTTGTGAAAATTATTGCCCTAATAAAATGAATGATAAAAAGCGATAATATTGTTAAAAGCAAGAAAAAGACTTGTATATGTCAAAGAAGTGTCTTATTTTATCAAGGAGCCCGTATTGGCTACTTGAAGACAGATGTTAACCACCCCCCCCCCCCCTTTAAATCGTTTTCGGAGTAAGTCAAGCAAGCCTAGCAGTTAAGTTGTTGTTATAAGATTCCTTTAACATCTTCAATAATGCTCTCTTACATTATACTATGTATGCCTACCTAGTAATGTAGGTGTAACTTACCATGGATCAACAATAAATCGCCTAACGTTAGCCTTGCCTAACACGTTTTGTCATCGTACAAAGAGTTAATTTTCGCGATCCCATGGTCCTTACAACTTACAGTCAGAAGTTCGTTTGATGTAAAGTTCCAGCAGAGCAGTAAAGATCCCATGGTCCTTACAACTTACAGTCAGAAGTTCGTTTGATGTAAAGTTCCAATCAAGATCAAGATTGCTTATTCCATATGAATTTTAAAAGGCACACTTTTTATGCAAGCCTCATAGTTTTCAGTGTGCTATTTATCTTATGTATTTTTTTTTAAAGATTTCTCATTGAAAATCTCCGTCTCTTTCATTTTTGAGGCAATTTCTTCTGTAAAGAGCTAGAGCCATCTTATGCATAAAATGGCCCTGTACTTATATCATTTAATTAACTATCACCGTCTTTCCCCTTTTATATATCAAAATAAAGTAGACACTTAGTGCTTTCATTTTCTTTACTAAAATTTCGTTTTGAGAATCCACATATTGGAAAACAAGCTTTGAGAAATTGCAATGTTCTTGAAATTTGCAGAAAACATGCGTATTTGACTACCTTCAGCAAAGAATTAAAATATGAGCACAGCCCACGATCCAAAAAATAAAATATGTTTTTTGATCTTCAGAAACACAGCTTTCATTATGTATTTACATATTTTGGATCAGAGGTTGTGTTCCATATGAAATATTGAAAAAATGCTTTAATTTTATGTCATTTTAAAAGGAATTTACAGGATATGAGGAAAATGACGCATTTTATGACGTCATAATGCATTGTTTAGAAGTGCATGAAATTATGTCACAATTAATAGATATGTGGTCACCAACAATCCAAGTGATAAATACTGCATTTGCAACCTAAATGAGCGGTTTTGCTTTTTCAGAAATTCCCAAGGCCAAATAAGACCCAAAGTGGCTCTTGCTCTTAAATAGGTTTGGTTTGTTTTAAGGATTTCAACTCAATAAGTTATTTATTCATGCCGTGTTTAGGTTATTTTTAAAAACGGTTTCCAATATTTAAGTCAGATAGTGACTTGTCTTTTCTCAAGGACTTGTCTCCTTAGGGTTTGCTTCAAAAATACAAGCGCAGTTTTCATCTAGCAAAAAATTAACTATCATGATATTGATTCAGCTGCAACGTACATACTATAATTATTACCAGTCGGTAGGGGATGCTCAATCCTCAATGGCGAAGAAAAGAAGAAATGAAGAAAAGTGACCCCCGTAGAATATTGACCAGGGGGTCATTTTACTAGAAAAATGACCCCGGGTCAACATTCAACGACAACTAGGGTCATTTTTCGACTGTAGAAAAACATTCAATACCAGTAATTCTACGACTTTACACGTCTCCATATCAGTGAAATATTCTGGAGAGGGACGTTAAACAGTATACAATCAATCAATCTACGACTTTACACACGTTGAAAAATGACCCCCATATAATTTTGACCCCCTACTTTTTTATACAATAAAACCTTATTTATGTGTCTCCCGATATTTTTTCATACTTTCAAATGCAAGTAAGGGGAATTTTGTATGTAATTTATTCCTTTCCAATATATATTTGATTGCATATCTTAATAGTAGCATCACTATCAATGTATTTGGTATGGATTTATTTTTGGCTTGCAGAATCCCAATGAATATTTATCTATTGAGGAGAATGTTTTTGCATGGGTGGTTTTTTTTGTCATTCAAAGGTTTTGTTCCGAAAATGGCATGATATGTTTCTGATAACTTTAAACTTTGAATTTTTTTTTACAAATCCAAAAACATAGCATAGAAGCAAGAAAAACAACGTTATTTAACTAGGTCTATATAAATTCAATTCCCTCAGCTCTTACATTCAAACTTACTTATACATCTGTATGGAAGAAGGATATGGAGAAAACGAACAGTATTCAAGATCAAAAGTCCATAAAACAATACAAAATAGGAGCAGGGCAAACACAGACCTCCAAAACATCAGAGGTTGGATCAGGTGTCATGGAGGCGTGAGCATCCCCTGCTTACCGGTCAAACCCGCCGTGTGATCTTTGTCACGATCGGGAAATAACAGAAAAATCCGTCGTTAATTCATTCTATAAATAATGGACTAACAATCAGCACGAAAATCGTCAATCAGCATTTGACTCCATTGTATCGACCATAGAACTTACGAAATGATGACTTTAAACGAATATTCTAGACTTGTTTTATCAACTTGCTTGTCAATGATTTACCTCGTTTAAGAAAATGTTCATACGTAGATCATGCTCTTGCGTATCGAATCAACTGAGATATATACACTTCGTATGCAAGTGATGAAGGTTTATTGCTGCGTGAGTAAGGAAAGTTGACAAAGGAAAAGTTAGAGTCATTATGTTTATCATATAGCTTGGTCGTTAGATTACCATTAACGTCTTTTTGTAAGTAAAATATCCAAGGTATGAAACAGTTGTGTCAGACTCTGTGGTATCTTTTATCTCAAGCTCTTCAGAATATATCGCATCGACGCGGGAATGGTAATTGCCATTGTTAATTGACAAAACGTCGGCGACATATCTAAATGTAGAGTTGCAGGCCACAGCAAGTGTTTTCTTCTTTTCACACAAAAGATGTTGCACAAATTCTGCTTCGTATGAATAAAAAAAAATAGGTCTGCTAATAACGGAGCACAATTGGTAACCATGGCAATTCCAATAGATTGTTTGAAGACCTGGGGCTCGTAACATAAAGCTTGCTAAGTTTTTGACTTAAGTAGGGTCGTAAGTACGTTTTAGGCACAATCTTAGGACCTGTTTAAGTACTACTTAAGTATGTCTTAAACCGTAACATAAAGCGAACTTAGCTATGTCTTAGCTAAGTCAAACTTATGTTAAAAATATTTCATACGATTAAACCTATGGTTTTTCATTTTATGTAGATATATTGTTAAAAGTGATCCAGGGTTTAAATTAAATAAACATGTATATAAAAGTTGACGTCTTTACCTACCGGATTTAGTTATGTTAGATTAGATCTCGTATTAAAATGATGATTCTGTTATAAATCATTCGGAATATACTGCACGGTCACACCGTAGCTATTCGTGGTTCATCGTAAATGTACGCCTATTGTTTTATCGATCACTTGAGATGTTTTCAGTTTACTTTTTGTTACTCTTTTGTTTTGACAAATGTTCACTTGCTTCGTTATTCTCGCAAACATAACAAGATAATAGACCGTCTGTCTACTTGAAATTGAAACTCTAAAATGATTCAAAACCTTTTGACCCCCCCCCCCATTTATATGCATCAGGCAATGCATGTCAGTAACAAAGACTGCATAAGTTTTATGATATACTCATTTGCAATTTCATCAAGGCTGCAAAAAAAAATTTCGGGGGATATGTTTCTCTCTCTCCCTCCCCCT